TAATATAAAATTAACTACTATATAATTATATTAATGATATAATATTCTTCTAAATTATTTATTCAATAATTACCATGAAAAAAACCCCAACCCAACCTTTCCGGCTACGGGGCCATTCAGGCATTTCGCCGTCCGCCCCAAACCGGCGCCGGTGTTTCCAAGCGGTCGTATATTCACTTCGGCGGGGTCAGTCGGCAGTTTTGCCTCACACCATTTCACCCCTCCAACCTCCTCGCACACATCCCCCTCCCCGTTACAAGTGCATCCTACACATTCCATACGGTCTGAGGGGGGATTCTCGCCACCCGCCCCGGCCCAGGAGCCGGCAGAGGGAGTCACCGCCACCGGCTGCGACCGGAGCATCAGCCGTGACTGCTCTACTTTTGATTTCGATCTATTTTCTTTGATTTTCCAGCGTGCCCAATCAGATTATAAACATTTTCACGGACAGGCAGGGGTGCGCAATTCTGGAAGACGAAAAAATCTTTGTCCTAATGGGCAGTTGTTGCTTCACCGCTCACTACAAGCAGGAGATGTTCAGCACACCCGTCTCGTCTGCCGAGCGTTCCCAGTGGGACACTGGCACGTAGTTTGGTGACGATAACGTGCCAGAGGGGCCGATTTCAGCCTTTGCAGGATGGCTGCGGTGAGGCCAACGCTGAGCCGAAAGGACGACGGAGTCCCCGTACCAGCACTGCCCCGCAACCGCCCACCCCAGAGCGGTCCCGATCCAAACACACCACAGCAGCTGTTATCGTCGCAATTTACGGCTGTTTTCATCACAATTTACTGCTGTTTTCATCGCAATTTACAGCTGTTTTCATCACAATTTTCAGGCAGCCTACCTGTCACCCCATATTTGTAATACGTGACAACCCATTTGTCTCTAGCAAGGGGTGTGCTGGCACCTGCCCTGACCACCGTGCTGGTCCACCCTTCTGCTGGCCCCGGCCGGGTTTTGTCCCGTGAGGACATCACAGACGGCCCATGGTCGTATTTGGGAAGCCACACAGCCAAGCAAGCGTGGAGGCAACGTGTTCCCTCCAACAGCAGCTGGCACCCTAATCCCAACGAGGGGCCTCATGCCGAGGTCTCCTGCAGAAGCAAAACATTACTGAGCATCTTCGCTCCTGCCCCGTTTCTTCCATGGCTCTTCTAATTTGGGATAGAAAAGCACAATCTGGGGCAGCACCCTCAAAGGGTCACTGAGCCGGGTCTAAAGCAAGATACTCTCATCTTTCCACAACCAGCCTGGCACTCATTTTTAAAGCAGAATCAATGCCCCCAAACCATGCCCACACATAACTGGTTTATCTGGTCCTTCCTCATAGCTCCCTGCGTGGTGTGACACACCGCAGTGCATTGTCTCCAGGACTGCTGCTGCCACGTTCTGCATGACTCCCGAGGTTCCTCGGCTGCTTTATGTCTTCTGCAGCCATTTATGCCCCAGAGTAATATGTAAATAAAACAACAGCAGGGTTGGGGGTGGTTAGTGGTTTGCCCAGAGAAGCTGTGGCTGCCCCATCCCTGGAGGTGTTCAAGGCCAGGTTGGACGGGGCTTGGAGCAACCTGGGCTGGGGGGAGGTGGCCCTGCCCAGGGCAGGGGGGTGGAACTAGATGAGCCTCAAGGTCCCTTCCAACCCAAACCATTCTATGATTCCATATAGACTTTGCACCATCTGCAATGATAACATGCATGCTTTGGGATCTGTGTCCTCTAATTCAATAGAGTGGGAGAGCTGCCCGGGTTTCTGCAGCGTGCCCTGCTAGGAAAACATCGTGGCATCATGCGAGCTGGGAAGGACACATTAAAAAGTTGCCGGGTGCACAAAACAACTGTAGTTGGTGCAACTAGGTCAGGTGAGAACGTCAAGCTGCCGACAAACACATGATTACAGACAGGCCTTTGAACTCCGACTTCTGTGGCTTTTTAGAGGTATAGGTGGAGTCCTTGGCCATAAAGTACGTGCTTTGTCACTTCCCAGCCCGTGTCCAGGGATTTGTGCTTGGCTAAACACAGAAGCCTTGGGTTCTTAGGTGGGAGCAGAGTTACGGCACCGCACAACTATAAGGGAAAAAGATCAGGATTGTCTGGACTTCCTCTCAGCAAGATATTTGTTTTGCAGCATACGTACCCCTCAGTTGAACGGTAAGTTTGACGTCTGAGTTGTCCCCTGGTGCTCAACTCTGCAGAGTCGTGGCGGTAGGAAGGAACGATTCAGAACTTTGCAGAACAAGCCAAAAAAAAAAAAAATCTCTCTTAAGTTTGCAATGGAGACTTTCGATGGTGCCAACAGTGAGGAATGCCATTTCATCTTAAATCAAGGCTGCTGTAGGAGAGCCAAGGGAATCTGGAAATTAGGGGCGATGCTTTTCATGGGGTTTGTATTACTCTGTTTTGAACAGAGCTGAGAGGAGCTTGGCGTGAAGCCACTGTCCAAAACAATGTAGGGAAGCATATGCGGTTTGAGAATTACTCAACACCATTTGAGCTTTCAGTTTTTCCTGTCTTTCAATCCAAAAGGTATGAGGGTTCCAGGACTCAGTTTCCTCCACAGTAAGCAACTCTCCGCAGTAATGTTCACTAAAATCCTTTACTGTTGCAGTTTACACATGCAATACTGTGGCTTCCTTCTAGAAACTGCTTGCAATCAGTAAGAATTTAAATGAAAAAAATGACAAAAAAGATTAGAAGAACTCACTGGAATACATTACAGATAGTTTAATATTAATATTCCTATTAGTTGTTGTATCATTGCTAAAATTTAGCAGCGAGGAGCAGCAGGATTCAGAGGAGCCACCTTGCTGTTACTGCACATCCAGAAACCACACAATGCCCAGCAGCAAAAGTTAGAGCTGTTCACGTTAACGAATTTAGCCCAGAGCACAGGATCTGTACACAAAGGATCCATCATTTAAATCCAAGTTTTGCCCTAAAATAGGGTCTGAACGGTGTATATACACAGTGCTGGCCACCTACCTAAAATTAAATCACCTGCAGCTCTTCACACTAGAATATTTGTGCCGTGGGACCATCCTCCAGGCGAGGGCATGGTGAAGCCTTGTGACGGGTGTTGCTGGTACAGTTCAATACTTCTGCTTTCGGTGGTATTCCAGCTCCCACCCCTGTACCGCTATTACTGCGTCAAATTCTACGGCTGATCTACAGAAAATATAACTAAGCTGATTTTTTTCCCAAGTGCTCACTGTAGCTAAGTCCACAATTTTCCTGGCTCTTCAAAACAAAGTGAATACATTCCTCCATTCTTCACTATTTCAGTAAAGGACTACAAAAACGTGAAAAAAGAATATTCTGTTGTTCACAGGGATTTAATTCTGGTGGGGGACTGAGGCAGAAATAATGGATGGATACCGTGTTATGTGACTACAGACAGTATCAGCTTCAGCAAAGTGTTGAACAACAAACAAACAATAAAATGTTTTCTTTGAAGATTCACATCATTCTAAATACACCTGAAAATAATGAAACTGCCTGCACGTAACCTGTTGAAATATGGCATATTAATTTTACTTACTAGCAAGCAATAAATATATGAGAAGTGCTAGGTTAGGACATTTAAACTTCTACAGAATTTCAGAAAACAAGCGCAAATAATTTGCTAGAATTAGCTACAAAACTAGGAATTATACATCGAAATTTCTCTGCTTTCAGCATTGCTGGGGAGCATATCTATTTGAAAATGCTTGAAAGCAACAACATAAATGTTGCTTTTTGTTTAGAACAACAGAACTACTGGAGGCATTAGTCAGGCTGTCTATTTTAAGAATTCTGGAACAGAAAAAAAACCAAAAAGGATCGAAGGCTGATAAGGATCGCCAGAACATTTGCTTAACTGTACCTTTTTCCTCTCTACTGAAATCCCAATTCCCCAACACTTGTAATTCAGGGATTGCTGGTATACTTCCATCTCTTCCCCCAGCCCGGGTCCTGGAAATCCGATTGAAGGGGTGGAGTATCGTACTGCCGGAGAGAGCTTGGCTCTGCTTTATTCTGGGCTGAGCATGAGATATCTGATACCGGCTCTTCATGCAGAAGTTTGTTGTCAGAGTTCTTTGCAGAGAAAAAACCTTTCTTCTTCTTCAAGAGCAAACTTCTTTCCTGAAATGTACACAAACATTACTGTAAGCCAAGGGTGGCCAATCTGTTGAGCCGGTCAAGCGCAGTTCCCATGCCAAGGCAACATCACGTGAGCAGCCAGAGGGCCATGCTGGCGTGGGAGCACAGGGCAGTCCAAATCCCCAGCTGCCGAGGAAACGAGCCAGCAGGGACTGCCGGAGCTGACACCGCCGAGCTGCCGGGGGTCCCATTTGTACCCCCAGGCCAGCCTCATCTCAAAGCTGGCTCCTGGGGAACCACTGTCACCTCCTGCCTGGTAGCTGCTCCCAACCTTCCCCATCACATCCGTTAAAAGGAGATTGGGGAATACATACTGTCACCTTCATTCTTTAAAGTTTTTTCTAGGGGGGAGAGAATCCGGAAGGTCAATATCCTTGCATCAGACTATTCTGTACAATGCCAAGATAAGAGAGTTAAACAAGTTGTTCCATGAGCAGCAGAACTCAAGAACCCTGTTTTCCTGCAGATTTGGATAGGTTTTTGACTTCATCCTCGCTGCCTTCAGCTATAGGACCCCAGCCGGGTGGTATGCATAGAATGATTAGCCAAGGCTGGGTTATTTCCCTAGGTGGGGCAATTACTGGAATATTCTACTCAGAACAAGGGCTCTTCCTGGAACTTGCAACCGTCTGCCCTATTCAAACTTGGCTGAGACAGCCAGTGAGCTTAAAAATTATTGCAGAGTACTGACAGAAAGAGCATGTGCATAAACTTCAGTTCTTCAGGAAATCAAGCTAGTGCTGTCCTTCCCTTCCCCCGTCAGCCCCAAGGGAGCTGGTGCAGTAACCTCTGGAAATATAAAACGTGGAGCTTTTGCTCTGCCCTGGCAGGGCCCTTGCTCTGTCAGAGGAATGGAAACAATTTAAAATGCAACAAAGCCATCCGCTGCTGCAAAACTCAGCTGGATGCCTTTCCAGCCTGCGTGCGAAGATTCCTTTTCCCAGACAGGAACACAGGACTCAAAGACACAAATTGGATTATCGATCCACTGCAAAAAAGCAAGTACCTGTGAAAAACTGGAGAATTCAAAAGAGCATCTGCTCTGCCCTATTTCCTCAGCCACACGACAAGGTTTAAGTTACCGAGAGGATAATTTAACAACATGAAGGCTTAAATGTTAAGCTAAATATTCTACCTTCTGCTGTTCAGCAAACTGTTCTTCAGCAAACTCTTTCGCAGTAGGTTCTAGCTCATCTGGCTGTTGATGGTTGTCCAAAGCAGCCAGCACAGCATCATGAAGAGTTAGAAAGAACCTTTCTTTGGTCACACAGCTGCCAAAGAAATCATTCTTCTCCAAGTCTGCCATCAGAGAGGCTATAAAAAATGGGCGGGAGGGGGAAATAAAGCAGCAAAATCACACCAAGCAGCACAGCTAAAACGTTTCACTTAAGTTTAAAACTTATCCTTGGAGATAAGTCAACATTAGTAAGCAAATACTATACTCACAGTGACAGCCAGCTAGAAGGACTGTAATGCCAATATTGTGAAACATATGGATGATCTGTGGAAAGAATTCCATACAGGCATTAGAGCAATTCTGCGTTATACAAGTGCTCTAGAAGGTAAAACATAAACAGGGAAATAAAACTTCCCTTGTAGTGTTTTATCTCTGAAGAAAACCCTATTCTGGTATCTCAAATCCTGGATGTGAGTTCAGCACTAAACAGCCAAGTTGTCCAAGATCTTAGTGAACGGTGATTCTAGAAGCAGGGCAGGTCCCAGCCAGACCCCATGTCGCTTCTCCCACCACTCACTACGCAGCACACAATGATATTGCTTCATTTAAACAAAACGTTATCATGGGAAGAGACTAACTTGAAATATCTCTCCATACACAGATGCCATGGCCACGTGTAAACCAGCGTAGGAACCCATATTTTCAGGTGTGACCCCTAATTCTGGTTGTCTCAATTTTCCTGTCCAACATTTTTAGATAATTCAACTTAGTGTTAAAGGAATCAGATTTTAGAGGAGATAGATTCTTACCATTTTCTCAGTGCTTGACCCTTTGTAATTAAAAAGTAGTTGGGGGGGGGGTGTTAAAGGCAATGAAAATCATTATTTCAGAGTATCACAGAATTTCAGAACATGGGGCTGGAGGAATCTGGAAAAACTTCGACTTTGCCCCCTTTCCCATTTAATGGATGGCAAATACGGATTTTAGGGACATCAGCTCAGTCCCGGAATTATTCCAAACAGGTGTTAATCTAACCTGTTATTAAACAAAAATCTTTCGAAGCTGAGCTACAGAGTTTGAGGGAGCTGACTAAGAATCCATCTGGAACCGTATCTTTTTGAGAAGCACAGCTACATGAAATTTAATTTTGCTAAATATATATCTCCATTGGCAAAGATCCTCACTTTCAGATTTAAAAGTTCAAGGCATACTTCAAAGAAAAGGCTAATTAGGCAGTCAGCAATAATAACAAAATCACTAGGAAAAGATAGCTAGTAGTTTTATATCTGAAACTTTAACAGAAGAGCTGAGTTTTTTTAAAATGTCCAGCTAGAAGAAAAAAGAAACAGCCAAAATGGAAAAAACAAAGTGTAAATGTGGTTTTAGTTTATATGATTCTAGAACTGGTTGCAGCAGAGGACAGGTTTTTGCGTGTCCTTTGTATGGATAGTTTTGTTTTTTTAAAAAGTGATTTTATGGGAATTTCTGAAACTCAATAGTTAAATCTTGCACCCTTAAAGGTCAACTGGAAGACGTGCGGATTGTTACGTAGCAGGGTGTTTTAGGCTAACAAGAAACATAAGACATTGGGTAAACTTCAGGTTTCACATTTATGTGCAGTTAGGTTGCTTACCTGTCGCAGTAACTCTGAACCTATCAAATCCACAAATTGCACCATGCTGAAGTCTAAAATAATGGTGTGAACTGGACACGGTGAATGCACTGGCTGTTCCTCCTGATCTAGCTGTACTGAGGAATCATCTATGGCGGAGCCCGGTGAAAGGCAAGCACTTCTACCTTCATCCTCATTCTTTTTGGTCGTAAGTCCTGTGTTAAAGTCTGGGGATGCATCAGCTGCTCCCACCAAGAACGTCCTAGAGCTGAGTTTGTCTCCATACTTTGACCAATGTACCAAATTAACTGACGATGATGAGGAATCGCTGTCTGCGTGACATTTCTTCACCAGTTTCTCTGTATATGGTATCTAAGATGGAAAATGAAGAGTACACCAGTGGTTGGAAAAATTGGGCCCAGGAGATGGGAAACTTTTGGCTTTAAGTAAGACAGTACTGTAAATCATATGATATTTCTTCTCTCATGGTAAAAAAACCCATGTGAAATAACACTATATATAGCACAAAGCCACAAGAGTATGCAAAATAGCAGGTGACTTAGGCAAGGCTCAGATGTCATTAAGCAGAGTGCCTTCAGCCACCAAAGAGTACAGTGGTACCTCACTCTTCCCCACTGTGAAACGGCCGGCGATACTGGAGTCCGACTTGTTACTTCAACCTTTCAGAAGAGAAAAGGAGCAAAAAAAAGACTGCCCATGGCCATTGCCTTTCTGGGCAACAGTAAGTTCACTTCCTGGCTGAGTTCTGCAAACCTGTGATTCATCGACTCTTTTGTATGGCAGCTGGTCACAGAATGGACTGATTTAATCAATTTTTCTTTCTGAATTTTTCTTTTTTTAATTTTTATAACACAAGAAAGGAGAAGTCACTATTTGCATTTTTGTACCTCGGAGGATGATGTTAAGTTACCTAAAGCACCTTGGTGCCACATTTTCCAAACCACTCTTTCAACCCATTTCTCATACAATAGCTTTTACGAATCACATATAACTGCTTGAAAAATATCTTCTGAAGACAGTCCATTCCCTGAAGTTCCTTTCACATATTGTGTAAGGCAATTCAGAAAATTCAGATAAAGAGGGATATGAGTGACTCTCGAAGATGCACACCAGCCAATTATAGGAAAGGTGAGAAATCTTCTAATCACAATAATTGTAGCTGCCTTTGAGGTATTGTGTACTTGCACTTGGCAGTATTGGCAGTGGAACAAATTTCTCCTAAGCAAGGGAATTCTCTCAATTCTACGGGGAAAAAGAAGAAAATCCCTACTGAAGCACCTGACAAAATTAGATGTTGAATACTCCAATTGCTAGTTAATTCAGCCAGTAAGCTGAGCTACTATTGCTCTAGCAGATAAAGTATGTGTAAAGAAATACAGCTGTAATGTTTGCTTATTTTCATACAGCAAAAACATATATATATGCGCTTTACATAAACATTTGCAGTCCTTTCATAACTGGCAAGTTGAGAACATTGTCCTCAGTAACATAACACCAGGCACCTCAAACAAACAGACTAGATAAATAGACTTTTAAAGCTGACCCTAGGTGGTGGTAGAGGTGAATCACAGACACAAGAGCATTTAAGATATGTTCTTTCCACTGCAGTGTCAGACAGACTAATTAAAGCCCTCATTTCACTTTCATCTAGAGGCACTGCTTTCATGTCCATCTGAAAAAGAAAGGCAGTTTTATTAGAGTTTTTATCTCCCTAATGCAGACTCTTAGAAACTTCCACTGACTGAAAAAGTGGTATTTACCTTGCGTAACAAATAGGTTTTGAAGTGATGCATGTTTGCGAAAGAGATGGAAGAACAGCACTGGAAGATTTTGATACCTTCAATCTCCCTTGCCTGTAAAACAGAAGTTGGATCTGTGAGGTTTGTACCTAGAGGAGCTATTTTCCCCCTCCTGACTGCCTATGTTGTAGTCTGCAAGGTCCTACCCTAAGGACAGAGTTTGTCTGGTTATATTGTTAACTACACAACGTACTGGCAGTGCATTGGCAGCACGGACCAAATTACCATAAACTAATCTGCTTCACTTGCAATCAAAAACATCCCTCCAGCAGATCTATCACAGATGACACTTGGCTGCTCTAATGTAAAATATCCCAAATTATTTTTAATGCTTATTACAGAAAACATACACTATACCCTTATCTTATTAACCCTGTCCTTATATTATTCCTTTATTCGTATTATTTTGCAAATCCCTCGGCATAGCATTGGGAATGTACCCGTGCGGCAAAGGCAAAGCTCTCTACTGCGGTATTGTCTAAATCTGTATGGCGCAGGTCTTGAAAATAACGTGCCCTACCTATGATCCCATCCCCAGGAGAACCTCTGAGTCAGTCTAGCACACACACCGTCGTTATTGTGAAAACATCCGTGAAGCGGACAAAACCAGACTGAGAAAAGCAGGTCAGCAAAAACAGCCAAACAGCTCTGGAAATGACAGCAGCGCACCTTCCACCGTGGAGACAGCACGGATGGACGCAGCGAGCTCCAAAGGCCCAAGCAGGCTGGGCTAGGTATCTGAATCACTTCACACTACAGATACTTAAGTATTCTTCAAAGTTTTGAATCAAGTGAACTGAGCCTGAACGGTCACCCCCAGGCATTTAAGGGAAGAAGCTGGATTACAGAGAGAGATGGAACATTTGTTTTTTGTTTTCTCTTACGGCTCTGTAGACGGATAAACTTCTATAAATATTCATGTTTGGAATCTGTCCCAGCACCACCATCTTCATTCTGAAAAAAGATGTTTATTAGGTTTTCACAGAGAACAGAGGAAAACCATCTGTTCCCAAAAGCTTGATCTTCATTTCTCTCCTCTTCACTGGGTACATCAACTGTAACTTAGAGGGTGTGAGTACAAAAAGTTATTCACTCATAATCAGGGTTTCTTTGAGTAGGGAAGCAGTACACAAACACAGCCTTTAGCTACACTGGTGTCCTCAAGAATGTATAATGTCTCATTTCTAGCTCTGGAACACTTGGATTACTGTTATTACACTAGGAAGCATCTCCATCTCCCCACAGCCCTCCTCAAAGATAGGCAGAGGCAGCTATAAGTTGTGCTTAGAGCTGGCTGCACATAGGCTAGGTCTGATCCAGAGGTCCCGTAGCAGTATTTATGCAGGGGTTTGCCTTGAAGGAGAATATTTTGGTTTGGGTACAGTACTTTGCTAACGGTGGGCATGGTTTTGGGGCAGGTTCTGGTCAGTTTAGGGCATGGGTGGAATAAACACCTGGCTGGTTGCTGGAGAACTGGAAGGAAGTGGGCCCTGATGGATGGAAAATTGTTGTCAAGACACTCTTCAATGCAATCTGTTTGCAAATAACTTCCCACACTTTTTTAAGTGTTGTTGGCATAATGCTGTCACTGGTAGGAAATTGATAAGCGGTTATCTATCCCGACGATAGATCTTCTATCTGTCCCATGGACAGCAGGGATGCTCAACAGTGGCTGCAGAAATGCCCACTCACAATGCTCATTAAATCCCAAGGCAAATCCAAGAGTATAACTCCAAGCAGAAGCAATACAGTGAGTTTCAGACAGCAACTGAAATTCGTCCTGAAGGTATTCTTTCAGAGCCACTCTAGATCAGATCACAAGCAGTTCAATATTTGCAGCAATTAAATTATTTCCTACCTCTTTCCATGTTATTCTAGAGGTTTCGGTCTCCTCAGACAAGCACCTCCCTATCATGGTAAATCTCATGAGGTGTGGCTTGGATTTATGAATGATTTTCCTGTTTGGATTAGCAGCTAATAAACAGAGCGATGTGAGTCTGATGTAACCTCCCTCCCCTGTCACGAACTGAGTTTACGGAGAAGATAAAGCAACTGGGTAAATGGCAGTGAAGATTGAGGAACATACTTGAAATAGAGTCACATCATCTCATTTTACCCCTAGAGCAGCAGGGGTATATTATATAATATTTACACCTGCAGAAGGGACCAGTCCACAGCCCATAAACTCAAAGAGATTACTAGTTTGGAATAGCATTAGAGGGACTCCAGAATGACCTGACTGAAGTGTTTACAAACATGAAGCAGCTTTTTCATTGTCACATGTATAACTATCTCTAAAACATCAACTCTAAGAAAAACTAGTGTTTTCTTTTAAAAGTTACAGGTACCTGTGTGACCTAAAGGTGATTATGAAGAATGTAAATCCCATGGCAATTGCTAAGCCGACATCAAGACCAAGACAAAGCACTGCAGCAAAAGTTACAAGCCAAATAACCTTTGAACAATAGAAAGAGAGAACACGAACATTAAAAAGATGCAAAATGACCTCCAACTCGGCTCCAGCATTTGCAAATTGCAGACAAAAAAAAAAAGCTAGAAATGGTAATATGTGAAAAGTGCATCTAGACCAACCCAGTCTTGGAATTGGTTGCAAACTAGGATCACAAATTTCAGTTCAAATCTCCAGACTTTTTAACAGGGCTTCAATTATTAGCGAAACCCACATCATACTTCGGGTCTTTATGAGAAATCCTGCACAAGAGTTGACATCAGAATGTGGCCCCAACTGGCAGCCAGACAATTCCCTTCTTAGGGGATCCGGGAAGCAACAACAATAATCAGTTCTCCCTGTACAGAATTAATTGCAAAGTGATGTGTAGAGATTTCAATACATTTCTTTCAGCGGATATTTCAAAGGATCCCTTTTCTAAGGGAATGCCCACTGCTTTGCCCTGCCCTCCCAAAACATCCGTTTCTCCCTTTAAGGCACAGTCTAAGTCCTTGCTGGTTTTGTCACTTACAAAATGATACTTATCCCGTCTCCAGAGGATGGGGAGGTCCAGAAATTTTTCAAGAAAAGGAAGCATGTTAAATACCACAATAGCAGCCAGTATATCCTGTGAAAACAGAAAAATAGCATCTATTATTTGGTTATTTTTTGTTTGCAACCACAAACATGCTAAGGAACAGATATCCAGGACAGACAAATGGCTTGAAATTAAAATCTTATAATAGCTTTATTTCCATAAATTTTATAGCTATGTATAACAGTTCTCCACTGGTCTGCAAACCAACATGGAATTAGCATATAGCTTCTTGTTTGATTTCACAATCGCTCCTGCCAATACAACTGGACTTCCTCTTGCAATGCTATGTGTAGTTTCCATTACAGAGCTCCTCAGTGAATCCCTACGCCTCCTGCAGCACGAGGAGAAAGGCCAACACCATCTACAGAATTAAGAGCTGCTGTTTCAAAGAATGGTTTCAATTAGCATGGGTAGTTCACTGCCAGATTTAGGAAGCTGGTTGACACCATTTGTTGAAACAGCCTTTCTTAGCAATGAAAAAGAGACCAAAGGGAAGTAGGTGGTTAAATTGTGTTTCGTCAGTTAATTTTGGGAAAGGGATTAATTCTCGCATCTTACAAAGAGGCCAGGAAAAAATCAGGAAGTAATGCTTTGTCAGTGGTTCCCTAAAAAAATTAGAGAAAAAATGAAAGTCTAAATAAAACTTTAAGGGAAAAGTGGAAAATCGAGTATTCTGAATAATCTACAATAATAAAATGTTTATAGGCACACTGGCAATGCAAAATCCACACAAGGCAGTTTAGGAGTCCATATGGTTTTAAAATAAACCTCAAAGACCAAGCTAGAATCAGAGACACTAAACCCAAATTTCCATTTCGAAGATTTTATTTACCTCTTTACACCAAAGATTTTGAAGCACCCATCTTGGAACTATTTACACCGATGCAAGAGAGGAACTCATGAATTTGTTCTGCAGGTGTTCAAACGCTTGGAAGATGTGAGACCAAAAGTGGAATACAATGTTTAAATTACAGAGGCTGGCAGTGAAATTTCAGTCCAGTTTTGGCCAAGGATTTTTAGCTTGTACTGATCAGTGAGAGATGGGAGAGAGATACAATATTCATTACTTAATACATTAGCCAGCTGAAATTTAGGAGTTTAAAGTCATTATTTTGGTTTGGTCCATCCCTGAGAACAATTAAATCTACAGCATGATATAATCCTTAACTGTCCCAGAAAAATCTTCATATTATGCTCAGAAAATCTTCATTTTATGTTTAGAAAGTAAGTGGACCGCTGCCACAGCTATTTCAGGTTCACTTACATTAGGTATCACCTGGAAAAAGCGTCCGAGTTTCAGCGCTATCACCAGCATCATAGAAGCTCCAATCGCTGCTGCTAACTGAACAGAAATACTTTATTAGAGAGGCCTGACACAACCACTTCCTTACTTGTCCTCTCTAAACAAGCAAGTATGGTCCGTGTACCACCACTGACTGGGAAAAATAACCAGGGAACAATTAACAACAGCCGCAGGTGTGCTGCAATGCATGGTACAAATTCTAGAATACTCAAGCTGAAAGAGTTTTCTGTAGATATAAATTTGACCTAAACAGACTATTCTTAGGCACAACAGAACAATGCAGGATTGTGGTTTGATAATTTCACCTGAGTAATAAGATACTTCTCTTGGAAATCAGACTTCGGAATAAACTCTTTATTAAACAAAATTACTTCTATGATGCAGTAAAGCATGTACAGACATTCAGTTAAGAGGTATGATAAAAACATTATTACATATTATTACATATTACACCCTCTTTCCCCCCCTAAAAAAAAGATCACAAAGTCAAGTACTCAAAACTTAGGAAGAAGTGGCAGAATTAAGGGTGCATGAACAATTTTCTGTTTGGCTTTTTGGGTATATTCACTAAGATACAGTTTTAAACTGCATGGACGTATCCTGTTCTCCCCACAGGATCCTGGCTTCCTTCATGCCACATCACGTGCCGCGTATCATGTAAATATAGTACTTAACAGAACACACACACAGAGGGTATCTGAATTCCTGTTGCATGGTTATGTAACTTTATATCTCACAAATTGTTTAGATTAAATGTCAGCCTATACTCAATATACAATGATTTTAGATGAGTTTGGAAGCTTAACAAATTCAGACCAGCTCACCTGTGTTCTTCCACCTGTCTTCTCTTGAATGACAGTTCCAGAAATGGCACAGCTGACAACAAAGCTTTTGAAAAATGAGCTGAAAATATTGCATAGCCCTGCTGCTATTAGCTCCTGTAAAACAGAAACAGAAGGAAGCAGAGAAAGCCTCAAATGAATGACTTACCTTCATTAAAGTAGCTTATCAGGAATTCCTTTCCTTTTGCTCACACTTGCTCGTTGGTCATCTGTGTTGCTAAGCTCAGGAAACCTTCTGGAAAGCAATGTCTCCCAAGGTTAAATGACCTCTCTTAAAAGGCACACAGTTTTCACAGCTGAGGATCTCATGGACCCAAAAATTCCATTCCTTCTTCCAAAGAAATCCACTTAGAACCCCAAAGCTATGAAGCACTGACTTTCAAGCTAACATGTGGCAAATGCAGCATAGTACACCTGGACAAAAGTTGAGTGGAAAAGGCGTTCCCTTTATATCTATCCCCAGAGACTTTGAGAAGTCAGGGCAGCTTCCTTACTGGCTTAGTTCCATTCTAGTAAAGATCCAAAGCCATCACAACAAGCTAAACATGGAGTAGTGCAAAATGCCCAATGCTTACTAACGCTAGCACACTGGAAACTAACACAGTTTTAGCTTAAAAGCTTCTCGGAACGATCACTCTGGGCAGAGAATCCATACGCTTGGGATGGCAGCCACATACAGAGAAGAACTACGGCTGCTCTGGCCATTTACAACTTCAGCTATTAATTTATCATGCTTTTATAGTCTCGTGGATTCATGACAGCACCGGTCCTCAGGGATAAGTTGCAGCACTCTGTGTGTGTGAGGTTCATCCCCATCACTGGGAATATACGAAGGCTGTGTTTTGGCCTTCACATTATTGGTTTATAACAACCACCTTGCATCGGGAAGGGTAACAAGATGCTACCAAACCATCATGTGACATATTCACTCCGTCCTTGCATTTCTACCACTGTCAGGTAGTTAGTGGCTTTGCAAGTCAAGTTCAGCTCACTTCTTAGCCTAGGAGGTATGTGCAGTTTTGTTCTCACCTGATTGCTGGCAATATTGTAGTTGTGAAGTGAAGCATACCTCTCCCCAACAAAAACAAGAAGGAAATAGCTTACAATAGCAAGGGAGAAGGCATGCTGTATGATCTTGCTCAGGTTTGATAAATCTGGCAGCGTAGGAGGCAGAAACCTACAAGATCAGAGAACAGATAAGTTTAGGCCTGTTCTGAGCTCTGTCCACCATGACCCAGGATCGTCACCAGAGGCATCCAGCATCCCACAGGAGATGCAAGACTTCCACCTCACAAAAAATGCAAATTCCCTCCTCTTTGTGCTAATAAAACCTGAATCTAATAAAGAAAACTGCATTTTGAATTCTGCATATGCTCAGAAATGATGATGCAATTAAAATTCTTCAAGAGTTATTCCACTAGCTGTACTTCCCAGTAAAAATCAGCCCATGTCAGATTTCAAGAACAGGCTGAAACGTCTCTTTCGTATCTCAAAAGTACAACTTCATAAACAGCATAGATTACTAACCTCTGAGGGATCCTACTGACCACAGCACTACTAGATTCAGCGTGAAGATGAATACGATTAGAAATAATGGTGACTGTGATAATCTGGGGGAAAAAAATCAAGAAGCAATACTAGAGATTATATAGCATTGGCTCCTGAAACTGTACACAATCCATCTAAAGACAGTTAATCTTGTAGGAGTATTTAAAGGACTTAAGCACAGATTCAGTGTGCAAATATAAGAGCATCTTGAAGTAATGTGTGAAGTGGTTTTTGAAATAAAGTATATTATACTCTCTGTTAGTTCAATTATCACAATGGCATTTTGAAGCTCACTTACCAAGAGAAGTTCCATAGGAAATGTAATAGGACTATGTTTATAAGTTATCTTGATAGATGTATTGACACGTAGTGCAGCCATGCTCAGCAAAAATAGCAATATGCTGGTGGCATTAGCCTTTGGGAGAGCCAGGAAGTAATGAAATAGATTCTGAAAAAGAATCATCATAGAGAGGATCAGAGAAGACACTACAACTATTTCTATATTCCAGGAGATTGACATAGGTTGCCCTGACACTTGAACTCATCCTTTCTGCTACAGTGGTATCTTCAGTTAGAAGAAGAGAGACGCTAAGAAAAAAATGCTATTTAAAAATCTGTACCATCTATTGATATCTGCAGAGAAACCACTGCCACAAACAGCTCAGATCTAGCACTGTGATTCTTCTCTCTTCTACACTACGATTTTCTCAAGTTGTCTGATTGACATTACCAAAGTAAATTAGGATGAATTAGTTTTAACTTGTCTTTAGCTTGGAGTCTGCTGCTTCTTTGTCAGATATGATAAAGATACTGTGTGCCCAATTCCTTCCCCATGATGATCTAGTGAGGAAAAAAGTAGCTTTTCCTCTAACCTTTGCTCAACTACAGTTATAGACATGCTGAAAATGTATTATAGAGCTACATAAGTAATTAAAAATATGCATACAGACTTTTCTTCTTGCATGTCACACAATAAACTCCACACACTGTTCAAGACAACAGGAAAGCGAAGTAAACCACAGCTGAGACTTGCACAAATATCCCTTAGCAACTGACTTAGCGATTTCTGAAGCTGTTCTTTTCTTTCCCCTCCAAGAAGCATGCATTTCTTTGACTAATAATGAATTTACTCACATAAAAAATGCCCAGGGGACCCTTATGGAAGTCAAACATGATGTCAAAGATAAAGGTAAACTGTGATACAATGACATGCAACGCTGCTGCAGTGAGGTAAGCATCAATGAGAGTCTTCGGCACGTATGTTGTTACAAACCCCAGGCAAAAGCAACCTAGCAGCAACTGTATGGAACAAACGAGAAGCGAGACGTGATATAATTATCAATGTCTAACCCCGCCCTTCTTGTTTCCATATTTGAAAAGCATGACTCCTCGCTGCCATACGTGATGGATAGTTATTTGAACATGTTATTTTCATTATGCACAATTAAGTAAGACACTGCCAAACCAAAATAGAAGCACTTCGCATCAAGCGTGTGCAGTTATGCAGGACTACCTAAGGGTCAACATATTGTAGAACTGGTCAACATAGAAGATAATAATTTACTTCACACATATTAATCAGTGACACATTAATCTTAACTTATCGTGTCTTTTTCAGACAGCACGGGAGGAAGAGACAGACCTTCATGTCCCACTTTGCATAACATATGTATTCAAATGTGCTGAGTTTAGTTTTTGTGGTAAGAATATGCAAGCAGTACCAAGTCTTACATTCGTACGAGAATGCACATGAGGAATCATCAGTAAGGATATAAAATAGATTCAACTTCTACCTGAATGATGCCAGTCAAAAATGTTACTGATGCGGTAAGTGTCAAGGCCTCCGTGTAATCTTTCATAAATGTAGGGTCTGAGAAATTGTTGAGCCAACCATTAGAGGACAATGTTTGGTTGAAATTAGGAATCTTCAGAATGTTTGTCACCGCCACGTTTAGGATGCTGAATGAGCCTGGAACCAACAGAACAGAGAACAGAAAATGGAACTGCATGAGATGTTGCCACAAAGACTTATCTCAAAACCACGCATCCATCTCTTCCCTCCACCATCAGTCTGTGCAGTATGAGGCAGACTATTTTCATTCATATATATAATCCACTTATATAAACAGTTTTTACTGTTTCTGGGCAAGGACCTAAAGTTTCCAAAGTCAGATTCCTACCATTTTATGAATGAAGTCTTTAGCTGGTCAGATGCACAATAAAAAGAATTTAATGTGAAGCACAAAAAATGGATGCATTACAATGAGCTACCAGAACAGTTGAAAAACATAGAGAAAGAACTGCCAATTTACCTGAGGCCAGAGCTTCGCATACCCACTCGTTATGATAATGTGAAGGGCCTTCTCACATGTAAACAGCATTTTAATAATCTACCTTCTGAACAAATTAAGAATGTAAACCCATCAACAGTTCAGCCATGACAAGAAACTGTATGTAGAAGACCACGGGGAAGACCAGGAGCCAAACCATGATTCACAGTAACATCCTGGGGGTAAACGTGAGGCAGCTTGCATGGGTCCTTTACGTAGGAGACACCTCCATGACACTCCAGCTGCCTCCTTTGCACTGGTGTCTCTGGTAGCTCACATCCTCGGGGGGAAAAAGGACCTCACAGCTGAAACTTGACTGACTTGGTGAAATTCTCACCACACATCAGCTGCAGAAGTGGAACAACAATGAACTGAGAATCTGAGGGTCTGGATTCTCACCTAAATAACATCTGCCTATTAGATGACATAGACTAAGACGTCTCGCCAGCTTTTTGAAGCAGCATTGAACACAACCTTTAAGTCCTGTAGAAAGATTTCACAGTACAAAATAACCTCACCAATTGAGATATGATGCGAAGTCCCAAATATAACATATGTCAGCGAGCAGCAGAACGCAGAAAGGAAGCCATTGATATTTGGCAGAGGTAACTTGGTCAGCCAAACTCCTAAAAGTTCTGGAAAGGAAAAATCTGTTTCTAAAGTCATGAAAATTGGGCAGGCTCTCTATCTTTGGTTACTATTTATAAGTAAAGTTTTGCCAATGAAATCCTGCCAACCCTTATGAAAATCCCATTATATTTATTCACAGAATCACCACACATAATTAGCACAAGCACTGGTCTTGCTTACACTACCTGCCGCTTTCCAGTTTGGGTCTAAACATGCCAAATCAGTGAGCACGATGGCCATTCAACTCCCACAGTCTGGTTTTTAGGGAATTCAGGACCTGATAAAGCCAGGCCAGTTAGTGTCAAAAGCCAATGTTGTTTTACAACACAGGCCTTTGCTAACTAGAAATTAGACAAAGAACCGGAACAACTCTTTATTTAGGCCACCTGCTAGTGGGCGGCTGTTCATGTGGCTGTCTAACAGACCTGATTTCGCCAGGTGGATTTTAAAGACCATGTTATTTTGTTTGCAATATAGGCAAATGCTGCTATTAGTTTATATTTTGAGTAGTGTACTGTCCTCAAAATTACACCATGTAACATCTGCTTATAGAAAAGAAGTTCTCCTGCAAATATGCCAGTAAATATGTTAATGATTTAAGGAACTTCTAAGGTTAAAGTTCCCACATAACCTGATGACATTAGGAAGAACTGGAGATAGATTATAAAAAGCGTGACATACAAAAGGAAGCTGGAGTGTTTTTTCCTCTCTGCCTACCTTGAGGAATCTGAAACATCCCAACACTTAGGCCTGCATGTAGATCCCTCAAGATCCATTCTCTGAACCGATATGAAAACAGCCAGTTCAGGACAGGGAACATCTTGAGTGTGATCTTTCTGAACCTTCCCCAGGAGAATCTGAAAAGAATCAGATCAACTAAGCCATATGCAATGCCTTTTACAACTTCCATCTCTCCAGCGCTTTTGCATGGCCTCGTGCTCTGCAGGCAGAGGAGCCACACTGCCGTGGTTAGCTCTCCGCAGGCACCGCGTACTGTGAACCCACACAGGCATTCGCCTTCCGCAGATCCAGCTGCCACATAACATGAATCCCACATAGGCACCCCTATGCCTTTGCATTCCATTCAGATGAATCGCAAATACTCTGTGTGCCATTCGTATGATAGCCTGTCAGCGCCGGAGCCCAGAGTGCTGAATGCATCAATTACTTGACCTCATTAACACCGCAGGAAAATAGGAGATGGTATTTTGATTCCTCCTATTCTCATCTAGAAGAAAAACATACGAACACTACATCTGGGGGAGAAAAATAGGCAAGCCTATCCCACCTCCCAAAAAGCAGTCAAATGTTTCCTGAATTACATTAGTTAATAAGGGGATGCAAGCAGGACTTGACCAATATGATTTATTTTGCCTATGTTTTTGAATCAAAATTTCCAGTAGGTAAACTCTGACTAACCCCATGGCCCTGTGCTGCTTCTTCCCCATTTTAATCCCCAGGAAACATGGGTGATTTTCTACTTACAACCCAAATATAAGTGATGTAGTGTCTGCCCAAGGCTTCTGGCACCTGTGAACAGTGCCTGTGGGAACTGACCCCAGTTAACATTATAGAGCTGAGTCCCTTTCTATCATTTTATTGTTCAAGGTGACGACACACTGGGCTGACAAGTGGATACAAAATGGAGAACAGAGAAAACACATGAGATAGGGAAGTGGGAAAGAAACAGGGAAAAGAGTATGAGGAAGCAAGGCAGACATGGTTCTTAAATGACAAGTTGGGGGAGGGAATAAAGAGATTTTCTTATTAAGCATCAAGTGCAAGGATAAAGTTTCCAATAATATTAGTTATGACTTTAGAGCAAAATTGTCCCTTTGATCTCTGGGCGAGACTTATTTGATTACACCAGGTGTTTCTCAGTGGACAGACTGTTAACTCTAGGTCACATGTCATAATTATACACAATTCAACCTTTTCCATCAAGTAATCTTGTTTCTCTGACTCCAGAACTTCATCCCATCTCCTTCTTACATTTTTTTCTTTAAGATATATAAAAAGACAGCGCTGGAACAGAAGGCTATTGCACAATCTAAAGGATCTCACTATTACAGAAATGAATCTTGGTGACAAGTCTTCACGGTGAATGGAAACTAGAAAACACAATAGCAACTATGGCTCCATTTGCCTTCACTTATCACCAGGAAATTACTTTACAGCAGCGTAAGTTAGATGTGACCCATAGTTTTAGGCTGCAGTCCCACACATAGCTGAGCTGATGTAAGAGCTAGTTATAGACAAAGAGAGAGGTCTGGCTCCCCTGCTTTCCTTTCCCTGTGTGGTCCTGTCCCTTCTGGCAGCAGCAAGCTGTTAGATTAGCTCACCACACCTTGTGGAACCTCACCCATAGCTAGACTTGAGTCTCAAGTCCTGCCATGGTCTCAAAACAACAGTTTAAGTTTCAGTATACGTTCAGTATGCATGCTGAAACAAAGCCCAGATAAATGATGAATCAGAGATTTCGTATTTACTTTCTTAGGAGGACTTTGGAGAGAGGACCCAGCCATAACCATTGACAGTCCACTCTGCATCCAAAAAGAGATTCAGAAAGAAAACTGAGAGTATTCATAGTTAAACAAAACTAAAAGGGAAGCTGATGAATGGGCTTCCTATTTTTTATTATATTTGCCTTGCTGGAAGAACATCATGAATGCTCCTGTGCCGCCAATAAAGACTGCCTTCCGGTGAGTCTGCAGGGCTCCTCTGGCAGAAGAAATGCTTCTACTCTATAATGCCCACAAGAGAATTTTGGCAGATGGGAAAATGAGGCTGTGGAAGCATTAATGCTTTATCAGTACCCCAGCCTCACCCGTCCTCTTCAAAGAGCACAGCAACACGTTCCAAATCAATGCCAAAGCAGTTCAGTCAACCTCAGTCATACCATTATGCAACTTTCCATGTCTCCAGCTAAGAGGGAACAGAAAAAGGCTCTTGAAATTTAAGAAATAAAAGTATCAAAAGGCACAAATCAGAAAAAAGCAAATGAAAGCTCATGTCTGACAGCTGGGCTGAAGGAAGCACTACAAGGAACTACAACTATTGGCAGTTTCTCTTTACAGTGCATATATCCCTCACACTATCACAGTCCTGAAATGAACAGACACTTTTGCAGATTGCAGATAGCAAGTTTGGTAGTGCAACGCTACGCTGAGCTTGCACACTTCAAGTGCAAATTGCTGTGACTAGGTGTACTGCTTTGCTTATCAACCAGTGCAGTCAGCATTTTAATTACCAGCTGTGGAAAAGTTAGCACCTTTTTTACACTTGGGCTTGAAGAGCCTTCATAGTTTCTTTACACCAGGTAAATTCCCAGCATAGGACTCACCTGCACTGTAGCCGTCTGTTCTCTTGAAGGATTTGTACTGCGCCACCCAAAGTGGAAGACAGTTTTCTTTCAAAGTGTGCCTGGAAGTACTCCTCAGTCTGCATTTTCTCTTTGGACCCTGTAAGCTGCTGGTGGCCTGTAAGTACTGACAGTATTGTTGTCTAGTGCCGTATTTTCCTTCTGGTCATAGTCTGTCAAAACCAGCTGAACAGCAAATGCTGGGGACCACAATGAACACTGTTTCTTGGCAGTGAGACTGGAAGAAAGCAGCAGGGTCATTGGCTGAAGCATCTACTAAAACCAAAATAAAAAGCATGATATGTGATCAGTCCATCCCAACATAAGTCCTGTGAAGCTGGTAGTTACAGCAGGGATAAGCAAGGCTCTGGAGACTGAAATCCATGAAGGACATGCTGCTCTTAGGATCAAACAAACCCATTGCCAGATCAGTTGCAGGAACACTGGATCCTTCTGGAACTTGCCTTGTTCCTACTCTGTAGGAAAAATGAGCCCGAATTCCCTCCATTTTGTGATCCTGAAAGCAGGCCCGTGTTCAGGGAACTAAATACAACCCCTCTCCATAAACCTACCACGGCTGAGGAAATTGTTTGAATTCTCCTTGTTTCCAGTCCTGGAGGAAAAAGGATTAGTCTGAATCATACAGAGAGCATCTAAATCTGAGGCTGTACAAATGCCACAACTTGCGGTATAAAATGAGTATTTGACACCATTTGGGTTTTTTAATCCCCCAAATGTCTGACTCCCATTCCTTAGAATTTTAGAATCAGGAAGGAGATCTGTATTCAATCACTGTCACTCAGAGTAGGTAAGATGTGAGTTCCCAAAGTGAATATTGAGTAAGTAAAGGTCCAGTGCAAGAGCGGATCTAAGACAAAGTTCTCATACCGACAGCTGAGGCAGAAAAAGAAATCAAATCCAGAGCTGTCAAGTCCATATAAGAAGGGTGGTGACAGGTAGAAAGGGTGCTGACATGAGCAGAAGAAAGGAAGAAAAGAGGAAATATAAAAAGGCTGTGAGTGAGCAGTTGAGAGAGTCTATTCAGAATGTAATCTAAGTTTAAAGTATCAAAACCTGCAATAAAATTCATGGAGATTTCAGTTTTCTCCTCATATTTCATTTCCTGAACCACTAGGATCAGTTTGTACAGGTCTAGTGCTTTGCATCACTGAGATCTGCTACTTTGGATACAGCAACAGTGACTCTGACACAGTCTTTGGTGTCTTGTGAGACATGTCTACCAACACATACACACGCCCCAGCTGTGCTAAACCAGAGAGCAAGCGAGTTGTAGGCACGTCTCAAGCACACTTCATCCCTAGAGCACAGTTTCTCCCTCTTTTTACAGAGGAGATAAATCAAGGTCTTCCACAGATGAGTTTAAGAGGCATTTTGTTCATTAGCTTTTGAAGACTTAGATGTTTGTGACGTCTTTAAGCATAATCACCTTCTCAAGGCAAGGTAATACAACAGGCAAAACCAGCAAGAAGCTAGAGTTTGCAAATTAAAGGCATTAAAAACCCCAGAATGCCAGGATGTAGTTACTTTTTAGATGCAAGCAGTGGTAACTTTCAGCTGTTCACTCCTGTTATTCGGACTTCAACGCTGACTCGGAGCAGCGGAGCACAGGGTCCCACTCTGTTGCGCTGTGTGGAGAAAGAGATGGGTTTTGACATGGGAAGCCAAATGTTTTTAAAGCAGGCTTCCGTATTCCGTTCAGAACGTGTCGGTCTTGCACAGTACTGCTCACAAGACTCATCTTCCTCGAGCCTGAGATCAAAAGCTAAGTGGCCTTAAACACAAATCCCTAGTTATTTGCTGTGACTTTCTGTGCTTACTACCTGGTGAAGACACCCTGGGCTCCACTCCAGAACACGCTTAACCTGCAGCACTTAATGACTGCATTTGTCTTAGGCACACACTTGAAAGCAAGCACATACGATCTTTGGTATGCTACACTATTGAGAAAGAGTTTATTCTCCAAACACACAGAGAAAGACCCAGACGCTGGGAAAGCAGGGCAGGGAGAGCTTAGCTTCCATCCCTGCTGGCTCCAAGCCCCTGCAAGGGAACAAAATGTCCTTAGGATGTTTACCAGAGCAATTAATACTGGCTTGTAGGCCTGCAGAGGCACTAGAGCTATGCTTAGCCCAACCACGGCCGCCTGTCACCCACCACCGACCCTGAGGGGTCACCCAGGGCCTGCACAAGTGCCGCCAAGTTTTATCATCGATTTTCCTTTTTCTCTTCTTTTTTTTTTTTTTACTTAAAGCACAGCCCAAAGGGGCACTGCGCAGGGAAGCCACGCGCTGGGCTCCACGAAAAGGCGAAAGAGGGGACAGCACTGCCCCAATTTTTAGCCGATTGCTAGACGGCAGCACGCCGGTACCGGGCCCCTCCGCCGCCCCCTTCCCGCCGGGCGGCTCGCGCCA